GTTAAATCAAATTTGTCCCGAATTCCCGATTAAAATGTTGATTTGTGGTTGGGTTGTGTGGGTTGTAGGCTTTTAAAATAAAAAATGAGCTTAATTTATGGGTTATCTAGTCAAAACTCACTAACCCAAGATGAGAAGCGCAAAAGGAAATAGACTAAAAGTTCAGCTGCCAAACAGAAAGTAAAATCGAGATTTTACCTGATTTCACGGTAAAATCTAGATTTTATCGTGAAATCCCCAGATTTTATGAATTTCAGATTTTAGTATAGATTTTACACGAAATGTCTTGCTGAAATCGTAAAATCGTAAGATTTTAAGATTTAAATTTAGATTTTGACAACAATGGTCGTAACCATTTCCTTGCGAGTGAATAAAGGTTGTAACTATCAGTTTTTAGAATAAAAAATTAAAACAAATTTATGATAATTATTGTATATGGTGTAGACCCTATGTAAACCTATATAATCAACAATTGAAATAATTTCATCCAACAAATTATTACTTTTTCCTCATTAGCTGCTTGATTCCTTATGGTTTAAGATGAATAAAATTTTCATTTGAACAAAAATAGTGTACACCAATTGGGTGGAACTATTGTCATATTTTAAAATATTGTTAAGACCATGGTTGTCAAAATTGCAAGTAAAACCATAAAATCGTACGATTTTACGATTTTACATATGTAATTCGTGTAAAATCAAAGTCAAAATCGGAATTTCATAAACTTGGAACAGTAAAATTATAAAATTGTAGTAAAATCGTAAAATTGGATAAAATCAAGTATTCGAAATTTTACATATTCAAAAGGTTTTATGGATTTTTTTGTCAACATGTGATGAACAACCATCACCAGTGCATTGGAGGAGCTGTGCTTGTAAGCCAATATACGAATTGTTTGGTGGTGGTTTGAATCTTGACAATGTAATTTGACAATTTTGAGTTTTCAAGCAAAAATTTTAAAGTTTTGTCAATTTGGTATAAGTTAAACTAATAATATTTTATTATAAAATTTTTTTGAGGTCAAAATTATTAAAATTTAAAAAAAA